TGTAACACTGTGGTATCCTGGCCACTCCAGGCAGAAATAAGAGCCAGTATCATTTGTCTCCACATTGCTGATGGAAAGGGTAAAAGCTGTTCCAGAACGACTGCCACTGAAACGTTCTGGGACTCCTGGAACTCGGGTGGATGTATCATATACAAGAGGTTTAGGAATCCGGCCTGGTGGTTGTTTATACCATGAAAACTTAATGTTCTCCTTGGGATTGGTTTGGCAGGTGATGGTGACTCTTTCCCCAGGATGGACAGACAGAGAAGCTGGAGACTGAGTTATGGCATTGCCTATTTTCAAATCTACAATTTCATAAGACATGAGAAATTCATTAAAAATACAGATCTATTTCCACATACAAGTCTGCAATTTTATAGAAACAATCTTTAGTGCATAAAACAAATTTCCTTTGAGAGAGATTAGTTCAGAAAAACATACGAAGAGACCCTGTGGGGGTGTTCTGGAAATTTTCATTAGAAGACTCCAGCATCCCTCATCCCCTCCCCTTCTCACCTGAGAGAAAAAGCATCAGAAAACACAAGAGCTGAGATAGAGGTCCCATCATGCTTGAAGAACTCTAACACACTCCACCTGATCTGTCCCCTCTCTTGGGGGATCCATAAATAGGAACCCTGTAAGATTATGCAAAGCAGATTCAGTTAGATCATAAACTCCAAGTCCATTATGCAGAACTTTAGTTTCCATTCCTCTTTATCAATTGCATCATTGAATGTGGTTAAAATACTTGTAGTACTTTCCTGGAATCTGTGACAACAGTATTTATAGTGGTCCCTATTCCTGACCAAAGAAGCTGAAAGGAAAACTCTTTTATAACTCTCTAACATCTAAACAGAATGAAGACAATGAGTGAAAGTAAATATTTTTTGGGGGGGTGATGATAAGGATGAAAAACTCATGAATGTACATTAAAGAAGATATATTTGCTGGGCACCAATGGCTTATACCTGTAATCCCAGCTACTAAGGACCAGAGATATGATTATTTTGATTAAAAGCCAGCCTGGAAAGGAAAGTCCATGAATCTTATCTTCAACTTATTTCCAACTAGCAAAAAGCCAGAAATAGGACTGTGGCTCAGATGGCAGAGCTCTAGCCTTGAGTGTAAAAGCTCAAAGACAGCCTTGAGGCCCTGAATTCAAGTTTTTTTTCTAGCAAATAAAAGAGAGAGGTATATATATATATATATATATATATATATATATATATATATATATAGATAGATAGATAGATAGATTATATTATATATTTTCATGACTATGAAGATAGAAAAATCTGATGGCAATTTTGTGTTTTCTAATGTTATTTTAAAGAAATTAAAATAATAATTATGACTGTGTTAGAATATTAGAATATGAGTTTTCTTGTTTTTCATTATCTTAATTTTAATTTTTCTTCAGGTGATGTAAACAGAAGTTACAGTTACAAAAGTCAGGTAAAAATATACATTTAGTTAACAATATCAACCCTGCCCTTCTCTCAGTTTTTCCCTCCTGTCTCTATCCACAAGTTGTGTTGTTCATTTTCAACATAATATCTAATGACTGTCTCTTTGACATTTGGTCATCCTTTGTCCCTCCATTTATATGCCTCCCCTTATACTCTGAAAGACATATAAACAAACAAATGGGAGAAATGAAAAAACAGTATAAAAAAAAAACCTCTCACTTCCATTTCCTGGAATTTATTTTGATAACTTAATTTTTTCAACAGTTACTTATTACAGATTTAGAAGAGGCTGTAGGGAAAGCCTATTTTATCCTCCCAAATAGTTTCCCCATCAAAGATCCCCTCATTTATTCTTTTAAAATTGGATCATACACATTAGATATTTTGCTGTCATAACCACCTCTGGCTTATTTTCTCTCCTTTCTTGGTTTGAATATCTAATAGTCTAATTCAGCACACCTGAAACAAAAATTGTCACATTGTTTTATTTCAACTGTAATTAACACATAGAAATCTGATTATGCTAAACCCTGGATTACTTCATGTCTTTTTATAAATAAAGGAAAATTCATACCAGAAAGACTCAGATGTTAGGAGAAATACTCTGTTAAGTAGGTATTACAAAGACTATGGATATAAAATTATGATAATCCAGCTGAACAAGCAAAGATGATCTCTTTCCTTGCTATCTTGATTCATAGATTCAGAAAGAGTTTCTTGAATTTCAGGAATAAATCTTACCTGTATTTCTTGTATCAGAAACCAGTAACACCCATTCCTTTCATTCCTTAGCCATCTGAGGCTGGTTTCCAATACTCTTGTATGTGGGGAAGGGAAAGACTCTTAAACAAATTGTAGTTATCAGAGCAATACTAAAAGTGTGTTGCCCCCTCCCTCTGCCCCACCCTTAGGAGGAAGAAGTGAAGGGAAAGAAACATAGAGTCTCATTTGTTTATAGAAATGACAGATGACTTGAGATTCTGTACAATCACAGGGTCCCTGTAGATGACAGGGTCTCTTAATTACATTCTTGCGTGGTAGAAAGAAATTTGAGAATTTACTCATTTCAACCTCTTTATGGGGAGATATCTATAGCTCAATTTCTTACTAAGCATCATTTGCAAAACATAAAAATTTGGGGACAATAGACAACACTTCTGGATGATTGTCTATCCCATTAGTCCCCAGAAAATTGGAAAATTTCTTCTGCGATTACTCTGTTTTATTACTAAAGAGTCCACATAAATGAGTATTATAATATCTTTGTATTTCTTTTGTGGTTACTGGAATTTGAATTCAGGGTTTCATTCTTTTAGGTGGGTGCTTTAACATCTGAACCTCAGCCCAATTCTCAAAATTTCCATTGCTTAGTTGATTAAAAACCTTTTATTTAGAAAGAAAATAAATTTAGTTTTTCTCCAAGCCATTTATGTTTTTACTAGAACCTACACCTTCCACCTCTTGTTCTTTGTTTTACATATAATATTTATTTTTTTCAAGTTTTAGAAATATACAGTATATATTAATTATTAACACACACACGTAATGAGAAGGAAGCATCAAGCAATTCTCATGCTTGTCATTATCAGAGCTAGTGTGGGTGAGGTGAAATTGTTCAAGGCCTGCTCTCTTCTGCAAAAACTTCTCCAGAGCTTCTACAGGACAGAGGAGAGGCCTTTAGTTTGCATGCTGTGTACTATCCTGGACTTTGTGTCAATGGTATGGGGTCCTTTCTAGTGGAGTCCTTAGTGCCTGGGCCTCATAAAATCATGATTTATATTCATCTCCCCTGTCCTCAAAACTCAGTGACTTTGGGATTAAGTAGGCCAGGTTAGGAAGTCTGGACCCTTAGACTGGGCAAGGAAGGGTTTCTTCTTGTCAGCTTTGTCTCTCGATACCTAATAAGAGAATCTCATATTGTAGCCAGGTTATAGAATATGGGGAGGGGGAAGCTTTTCATTTCCTTCCTGTTGGCTTTTTCTAGACAAAAGTGCATAAATAAAGTCTGGACAGGAAGAGGCTTTTTAGAAATAACCTTGAGCCAGAGGTTGGCTTCTGAGCACAAACACTGCAAAGCCAAAATTAGGAGTTTGTCAGAAGACAACTCCACCTGACATCAATTGGGATGGATATACACTAAACCCTAAACACTCACAAGTGTAACACTAAACACTCACAAGTAGTCCAGACTGAACCAGTCTAAGATCTCCATCTGTAGATTCTAGTATGCCTTTGCAACTTCTCAGGTTTTCACCTGAGAAGTTTGGGTCTAGGTCTGCACCTAAACCCAAAAACCAGAGGGTAGAAATGATCTCAATAATTTTCTGACAATAGTAGCTGGCAGCATTTTTGGCCTCCAGAGGAGGGACTGTGACACTAAGATTTGTCCCATACCCAATTTTACAGAATGGGTCTGGGACTTCAGAGGCTTGGTTAAATGATCTACAGATTGAGTGTTTGGGAGGATGCCCTGGTTTCTGTGCATGCAGTGCGTAGGACTGATCTAGCACAGTATTTCACTAATCCTCTCAATGTGCGTGCAGGAGAGGGTTTTCTTTTCCCTGGGGCACATATTTAACATGGCCTGAGAATGTTTAAGTTCAGTGTTTGCAGTGAACACCTGAATATAAATACAGTTAATTCTAACAGATTTATCAAGGCCATGGCAATATTGTCTGGCTAAGTTGGGGACATTTGTCATCACAGCCAAGGACAAATACACTAAGAATGAGAAAATAGGTAACCAATAACAAAAGCCTTCATTCCCAGTGATCCTGAACAAGAGTCACAAAAAGCAGTGAGGGCAACACTGACTATGCCCAAGGTTTCCATGGACTAAGCCTCAACAGAAACTCAGGGCTGCAGCATTCTCAGTGGAGGAGTGAGCCATTGTTGAGAGTTAGATTTGCGGCTCTGCTCCAGAAACCCTATCAAATTGCTTCTAAGGAAGCTTTGAGCAGGTTGGATCAAAACGCAAATTATTTCCAAGCTGCTTGGGTTGAAACTCAAAGAAGCTATCTTTTCCATTGTTTACCTAGAGGGGTTTGGTATTAGAAAAAAAATGCTATGTTGACTCAAATACATTCCAGGGGACTCTGTGACCTCTCCTATTGAATCCTCACTCCCTAGGCTTTCTGAAGTACCACATACAGGGAGGGTAGGTGGCTGCCTTATTCTAAATAATGCAAGTTATATTTCTCTATCGTGTCAATGACAAAGCATTTCAAGTCATGATTCTTATCAGCAATAAAGAGCAAATGGGCTTTATAAATGAGGAAAACAAATGGCTTGGTTCAGACTGAAAGAGAACTTGGCCTTATTGTTTGCCCTATTAAGTTGAAGAGTTGTTTACATCAAAATGTGTAGAATCATCAGCATGTGGAAAGGCTGAAGGGCATGAACCTGGAAGGTAAAGGAAGATGGGGATCCTGAATTCATTGATGGATTTGCTTCAGTGTAAGTAAGACTGGTTTTTCATCTGTTCCATCCTGAAGCCAGTGCTGGGCCAATCTTCTTTTAGTTCCTGGCTCAGTTATAGAGTCAGAGAGAAAAATCTTACACTATTTCTAACTATAGATATGTTTTCCTGATCATTCAGCTCTACTTTCCACTGATACTAATACACATATGAATTCTACTAAGCCACAATACTCTAGAAGCCCTATTTTCCTGTTTCAATTTTTTATTTTTATTATTACACATACTAATTGAACCTATTAATGATGTGTTATTTCCATGTATTCATATAAGAGGCCCTTACAAATCTAGCATCTCCTTCTCACCTTCTTTCCACATCTCTAAACTTCCAAATATCCAGTAATCACTTTACTACTTTCAAGTCATTATTTTATTATTAGTTTCCAAATATGGGAGAGAACGTATTGTAATGATCATATTTCATTTAAAAATAGTGCTTTTTAGCTCCATACATTTTGCTACAAATGGCCAACTTTCATTTTCCTTTATAGAAGTACATTTTCCTGTATATGTTTATGTGTAGGGTTACATGTGTATATGTATGTGTGTAACATTTTATTTGTTTAACACTTGGTGGCTGATGACATATCTTAGCTATTGCAAATAGTGTCATGATAGACAA